TCCCACGCTAGTCCATTGGTCTTCTCTTGAGAACTGGATCGGGTACTGTGACCAATTGAGGTATCTTAGAGTAGCTGGTTCTGCTGCCATAATGGTTCGTAGAGCTAGTTTTTCTTGATATTTGCTTCTGGAATCTAGGACCCCGGCGAAGATCACTGCTACTGTCCCCCTAGATTTTTGGAATCCCTTGTCTTCGTGGTTGTCTTCATCTTTTTTCTGATTGTCTTCTTTATTGTCTCCCTTACTATCTTTTCTTATGTATCGTTCCTTGAAGGTGTAGCAATTTCTGATGGTGTGATTTGCTTTAGGGTGCAAGATGCACTGCATATTTTCAATGTCGTCATATCTTCTGGGTTTGGAAAACTTCCTCGACTTGTCAGCCACCGCAACGGTGTTGTCTGACCCACGTTTCCTTTCCTAATGTCTGGTGTTTCGATGATTTTGTCTGTCCGGGTTGTCTCGGTTGCTTCTTTCCGGGAACCTTTCTCGCGTCTTCTCCTCTGCAGTAATCATCTTTTCTACTGTGCGTCTGAATTCTTCATTGTTTCTCGGGTTCTCTTTGCAGAAATCCTGAAATTGCCACCTAGCCATGATTCCGTGAGAGAAAGCTTCGATTACTTCTCGTTCGGTGATGTCATGTACATGGGCACGTAATTCACCAAATCATCGATAGTAATCTCTGAGACTTTCGCCTCCTTTCTGCTTGAGTCCCTTTAGTTCTACGTGGGTGATTGGGTGCGTAATGATACCCGCGAAATTTTCACAGAAAGCCCTTTGCAAGTCCTCCCAATTTCTGATTGACCCTGGATTCAATTTGTCGAACCATTGAAGGGGCATGGTTTCCAGGGCCATGGGGAAGAACAAGGTCTTGATATCGTCGTCTCCTCTGGCCAGTTCAATCGATTGTGAGTAAATTCTGAGCCACTATTTTGGTTCGGTCTTGCCATCATATTTAGAGTGGTTGGACGGCTTGAACTTGTGAGGTAGTCGTATTGAAGCAAGTCTGCTTGCAAAACAGGGTAATCTATTGTGCGTCTCGGCTTCTCTGTATTCTGATTCAGCACCTCCTTCCAGCCAGCTGTTGTTTTGGTGAGAGTAGTTTTGCGGGGCTGTCCGAATGGGTGCTTCGCTTCTGATCTATCTTGGTTGTTCGGCTCGGTAGTTTTGACTATGGTCCCTTCTACTTTCTCTGTTGTGACTTCCACTTGGTCCAAGTCTCTCGAATGCAGACTTCCTTTGATTTTGATCCTCCTTCCTATAAGATGTTGACCTGGCGGGTAGTCTTGAACGGGCTCTTCCATCGTGTGTCTTTATGGCAGCTGTCCGAAGAAGTTCTCGGAGCTGTTCCTGTTGTTCACTGGGATGAGAGGTCGTTCCGAGTTCTTCAAGTGCTTCTCGGATCCTGTTGTAGGGTGTGTTCGCCGCACGTCTTTCTTCGACTTCTTGTTCTGATTTTCTTCTACTGTACTCGGCCAGATCTAACTCATATCTGATCCAAGCTTCTTTGCGCTGCCTAGCATGTCGTTGGCGTCCTTGTTTCAGTTTGTTTCTTCTTTCTCTGGCTTGCCTTTGATTCTCGGTCTCACCATCGTAGCCCTGAGTAAAGGGTGATATGTTGGACTCAGATTCGTCCGATGACCTGATGTCAGGCACTTCTGGGGGGATCAATGGTGATCGAGGACGGCGAACCATGAGTACTTCCCGTGCGTGAACTGTTTTGTTATTGGCGTTGGTTTCCGTACTGTCGGAGTTGCTGATGACTTTAGTAGAGGCTTCAAGGTCGCAGATCGAGTCTCCTTCTTGGTAGGGTAGAACTGCTGTTGTCGTCGCGCCGACCAGTCGGATATTGCTATCCTCAGGAATGGAACTTGGTCAGTGGACGATGCAGTCTTGAGATGTTATAGTTAGTACGAGACCTTCCTGGGCTCCTCTTAGTGGCATTCTAAGCACCGGATCGAGGGATCCTTCGAGTTGTGCCTGGTAAGACCTTGCCATGTTGTGTAGTCCAAACGGAAAAGGATCTGACTTCTTGAAAGGACTCTGAGTGTTTTCCGAGTTGTATTCTTGATATGCCGAGGCCACGTTCTGGAGCCCCATCGAAAAAGAACTCGGATTTTCGAAAGAACTCGGGTCATACTTCATCTCGGATGCGGAGCCTGAGTTCGAGTCGGATGTGCAAAGCCGCAAAACCTGAGTTGAATTGGACATCATGAGCTGCGCGAATCTTCCGGTGATTTGATCTATCGTAGTTGCCGAAATAGAAAAGTTTTCATGGTGAACCAAATCTTCGAGAAGACGGCTTTGGAGCTTGCCATCGTCGCCTGCCTCGTAGATCCACGAACCGAAGATGAAGGTTGATCCCGTTGAGAAGATCATGTTGTCGAGGTCCATCGAGCTCTCGGATGCAAATTCACCGAAAGCCCCTACCTGGCGCGCCAGCTGTCGATGTTTAACCACCGATAGCTGCCATGGGGGTCCTCGGGGCAGTATGTTCGGGCTTCAGCGTATGCGGAACTCGACGGTGAACGCAAGAGACAGTCGATTTATCCTGGTTCGGACCCTCGATCGTGATCAAGTAACAACCCTACGTCCAGTCGGCGTTAGCCTTGCATTGGATTGATTGTGTGTTGTTCGTCAATTGTCCCCTTTCCGCTAGGAACCCCGCCCTCCTTTATACAGTCAGGAGGTCAGAGTTCTAGTCGGTTTACAATGAGAGTTCCTAGTAGGATTACAGAATAATACTACTACTAGGATTACATGAAAGGAAACCTAGTTAGATTATATCTTCTCTTTTCCTTGCGGGGTATCCCGTGGGTCCCGCATCGACAACAGCTTTATAATTTTGAGTTTTTATATTTGAGATAGTTAAGATGCTCGAGAAAATAATATATAGTTTCAGCAACATATTAAACGTGCACCGGCGCTTGTTGCCTCATAAAAGTTATATTTTTCCTGAAAGGTGTCAAATGAAGATACTTTTTATATCAAAGTTATAACTATCGTGATGAGATCTTCAAGTTTTAAGTTTTTAAGTTTTTCTTTGAGGTCATTTAAATGCTCAAGAAAGTAATACAAAATTTAAGGGGCATAATTGATATTTGGGTTGTCCGAATCATAGTTAGGTGGCGCCCATTCCGCAGTGGGCGGACGTCACACTGCCGCGTCAATAGCAGGCCGGTAATAATCTGAAAGTGAATCATCAACCACTCATGTAGAAGCCGCTCATGCAACAACGTTTAAGTCAATCCTTCCGCTAGGGGCGGAGCTAGAGCAAATTCGAAGGGGGTGTGCTGGCTTTGTGGGTGCGTAAATTTTTATCGTGAGGGTACGAATATGGTGAAAATTTAGACACTGTTAGTGTTTTTTCAAATTTTGGTGGGTGCGGGCGCAGCCACAGTTTACTATATAGATCCACCCATGCCTTCCGCCCATATTATTTAGTCTAGTTGTTGGAGGAAATACACCTTAACACATTACATATACTAGCTGAGCTTTGTCCCTACAGTGACTGGTTGTTATTCGTTTCGATCAATTGTCCCCCAGCCGGCAATGCCAGTTTATTTTTTTTAGGAAAAAAAATCACTTTCAGCGACTGCCGGAATCATTCAGAGAAGGGCTACAGATAACCGAGTTATTATGAAAAGGAAACGCTACCGGAATCGGAAGTAGCCGTGCAAACTGCACAGGTGCAGTGAGATGCTGCACAGCACTGCAGGCAACCAAACCTCATGGCCGCCGCACCCTGCACGCTCAACATGGCCTCCGTCCTCCTACTGCTGCTTCTCTTCTCCGTTCACTGGCCGGGCCGCAGCCACGCTTTCAGCTACCTCTGCAACAACGGCAGTTCCTACGCCCTTAACTCCACCTACCGCTCCAACGTCGTCGCGCTCCTCGGGTCCCTGTCGGCCAACGCGTCCAGCTCCGCCGTAGGCTTCGCCACCGCCACGCTCGGCCACGCCCCAGACCAGACGTGGGGCCTCGCGCTCTGCCGCGGCGACTTCAACGTCAGCGGGTGCGCGTCCTGCCTCGCGGACGCGCCGGAGATCGCCTTCGGCGACTACTGCAGGGGCGTCACGGACGTGTCCATCTACTACGACCGCTGCCTCCTCCGGTACTCGGACACGGACTTCCTGGCCAGCCCGGGCGACGCCGCGGAGCCGGTGCAGTACGGCCCCAGCCTTAAGGTGAACGTCACCGCCGACCCCGGTCGGTTCGTGGGGCTCGCGGCCGACCTCGTGGCCAGGCTGTCCGCCTGGGCGGCGCGGAACTCGACGGCGAGATACGCCGCCGGGGTGGTGACCTCCGCCAAAGGGTTCACGACCACGGACAGAAACTTGGTGCACAACATCTACGGGCTGGTGCAGTGCACGCCCAACCTGGCTCCCGAGGCGTGCCTGGCGTGCCTCGGCAGGCTCAAGGACGAGATGCCGGCCGTGTTCAACGGCTCAGCCGGCGGCCAGTTCAACGCGGTGTGGTGCAACCTGAGATTCGAGGTGTTCTCCTTCTATGACAGCAGCCCGGTAGTGAAGCTTGTTGCGCCTCAGTTGACGCCGGCTCCGCCGGGTGCAGCAGTCCACGACGATGGTAGGCTCTTTGCATAATTTCAGATAGAAAAACAGAAACCCAAATCATCATAGTAATTGTAGCAAGTATCTATGAATCGTCCACAAATATAAATTATGAAATTATCGTTAACAGTTGCAACTACTGTAGTCCTCGAGCTTTAGGCCTTCTTTGGGAGATAGCTCCACTCCCGGGATTCTCTTGCTCTGCTCCTTGATTCTCTAATAGAGTGATTCTATGTGATTATGGTGGGGGAGCTAAGGCAAGGAGCAGGTAGAATTGATTCTAGAGTGATTCGGTAGAGAGTAGTTTTTTTTAAGCTCCCACCTCCTAGTGTAAACGGAAAAGTGATTCTTACCTGCTCCCCGCCTAAGTCACTCTGCCAAACATCTCCTTAATCGCTCTAATTATCTGCATTGTATGTATTGTATCTGCAGCAAAGGGGACAAGGGGAACAGGATATGCAGCAACAGTAGTGGCCATTGTTCTCGGGGTCCTAGTTGTCCTCCTCCTGTCCACGTTCATGATCTACCTCTGGAGAAAAGCACAAGTAAAACGATGTGAGTTGTGCGCCCTGTTCCTGATCAAGTTCTGCATATATCTTTGATATTTCAGAAAACATAAATACTAAGAATAAAAAGAAAAGGATGGTAGAAATGAGTCTCAAAGCAAAAGGAACATGGCGAAAATTCATAACTTTAATGGTGAATGATGAGAATAAGCACGTGTATGCAGATGCGGAGGAAGCTGACGATTCCGGGTCGCTCCTCTTTGACCTGGCAACACTGAGAAGGGCAACTGCAAATTTTGCCGAAGAGAATAAGCTTGGACATGGAGGCTTTGGCGCGGTATACAAGGTACCATTGCTAGAGAGTAGTGTAGAGACACATCTCTCTGGGGACATTCAGAAATATGCAGTACATCATAAACAAGGTGCCTAAAATTTCAGGGTTTCTTGCCTGATGGACGACAAATCGCCGTGAAGAGGCTGGACAAGGCTTCAGGGCAAGGCCTGAAAGAGCTGAGGAACGAGCTGGTGCTGGTCGCCAAGCTTCGGCACAACAATCTTGCAAAGCTTCTCGGCGTTTGCTTGAAGGGACAGGAGAAGCTGCTTGTCTACGAGTACATGCTTAATCGAAGCCTGGACACCTTCCTTTTTGGTACAGAACACTGCCACTGTCCTTCCTGTGCTCGACCTCAGACATGCCAATTAAGAATCTTTGACTCCTCAAGATGCGAGTATATCACTAATGTCTGGCCTTCTTGCAGTCCCTGAGAAGCGTCCATTGTTAGACTGGGAGACAAGGTACCACATACTCTATGGAACAGCACGAGGCCTGCTATACCTCCACGAGGATTCACAGATCAGAATCGTCCACCGCGACCTGAAGGCGAGCAACATCCTGCTGGACGCCGACATGAACCCGAAGATCTCCGATTTCGGGCTGGCAAAACTCTTCAGCGCCGACAAGACTACCACCATCACGAGCAAAGTTGTCGGAACGCTGTATGTAATTGAACGATCGGTCCACATGCCCACATTGCTATGTGCTGTGTTCTTCCTAGCTTCTTCGTCGAGCAGTAGTTCCGCGATCTGAAAACTCAGCTGTTTTCATGCTTGGCAGAGGATACATGGCACCAGAGTATGCAGTTCTTGGGCAACTGTCGGTGAAGCTTGACGTTTACAGCCTCGGCGTCCTCATCCTGGAGATCGTCACTGGACGGAAGAACACCGACATGTTGGAATCAGCAGCAGGAGAATCCATCATTCTGCTGAGCTACGTGAGTCGTAGTCCTAGTCCTACCTATTGTTCTTTTAATTTTCACACACCGCTGGGTCACTGGGTCAGAAACACCGTATACTTGTATTTTTTAAATTATACAGTACAACGCAGGTGCCGACCACGCACACTCGTATACACGAACCAAGTAAATGATTATGTCTTGTGTTACTAGGTGTGGGATCACTGGGTCAGAGGCACCGCGCTGGAGGCCGTGGACCCGTTCTTGGATTGCCAGGCCCCGGAGACGGAGAGCGAGGTGATGAAATGCATCCATCTGGGGCTGCTCTGCGTGCAGGAGAACCCGGCGGACCGCCCTACCATGCTCGACGTCCTCGTCATGCTGCACGGCCAGTCGTCAGGCGGCTTTGCGGCACCGTCGAAGCCGGCCTTCGCCTTTGCGTACGGGGAGACGATGAGCCCTGATGAGCGGCGTAACGTGTCTTTGAACGGGATGTCCGTGTCGGAGTTCCAGCCAAGATAGATGGACAGAATCACGGAAGACACGATAGGAATATAGGGATGCAAGCAGGTGTGCCAGCGGAACTTGCACGTCCTGCGGTGGCCTGCATTGTAGAGTGAATGGACCCAGGATTCATACAATTTAATTCCTAGCGCATACTCTGCTTACCGCAGTGTCCTGTTGGACTTTGCAGAAACATATACTGTACAATATAGTATAGAGTACCACTACGCGTACCGGCTCAATTTTTTACAATTTGGTCTTTTTTTAACAAAATTTAAGTTTAGTCTAATGAGAGATTTAAACTCGTCTTTAGACTCTGGGGTCGGGCCAGAACTCATGGCGCCGAAGTAACACGTCTGAGCATCACAGATCTCAGCTCCGAGATGCCTGGCCGTGCATAGCAAGGCATCCTAGGTGACGTCGACGTGGCCGGTACCTCGACGCCAGAATACATGACGCCGAGTTTGACGCCACATATCTTGACGCTGAGCTCGGCGCCATAGATCTTGGCGCCAAGCAGTTTGCTCGCGGTTCCCCTAGGCCTGTCTTTCGGTCAGACATGACATGCTCTGACATGCCTTAGGATGGCTGAACTCTTAAATTATGAGTAGTACCTGTCCACGTTAAAGCATTCATTTCTTTCACGATCCCAGTAGACCCGCATTACTACTTGCCACCGGCACTATGTGGTTTCACAGTGTCGCCGTACCCAATTGTGACACGATCAATCCCAGAGTGTGACACGATTACCGAGTACCTTGATAGAATAAAGAGCTAGTTCACTGGCTCTTCAAAGACATGTACTATCCAGCTGATAAAGCAGCTGGTGACAGATAGTCACTCTGATAATGGTGGCATAAGAGAGCTCACAATGCATCGTCGAAATTATGGCACTATCGTGCATGCCATATTTCAAGGGAAAGAATAGAAAGACTAGTTAAGAATGATATTCTTCCTCCATTAGAGCTATCAGATTAAGAACAATGTAGAGAATGCATAAAAGGAAAGTATGTAAAGAAAAATGACAAACGAAGCACAGGAATTTTACAGATGACAAACGAAGCATAGGAATTTTACAGAATATTCACACTGACATCTGTGGTCAGCTTTCCTGTAAAGAGTGTGGATGGTTATGATTCGTTCATAACATTCACAGATGATTACTCCCATCATGGCTATATTTATCCAATCAAAGAAAGAAAAGATGTATTGGATAAATTTAAGATATTAAAGATTGAGATAGTCAGGTCTGACCGTGGGGGAGTACTACGGTCAGCATACCCTAAAAGAATGGCATAGTAGCCCAGTATTCTACACCGGGCGAACCTCAGCAGAATAGAGTTGCTAAAATAATCAATCGTACCCTGATGGATATGGTGGGCAGTATGATAAGTTACTCCACCTTACAGTTGAGCCTGTGAATGGAGGCGTTAAAACCGCCATTCATATTCTCAATAGAGTATCAAGAAAGCCGGTGCCCAAAACACCGTATGAGTTGTGGACAGAAAGAGTACCCTCACTAAACCACTTGCATGTGGGGGGGGGGGGAGAGCCCTGCTGAGGCTAAAGTATTTAACCCAAATATTGGGAAGCTAGATCCCAAAACAGTAAGTTGCTATTTCATTGGCTACCCAGAAAAGTCAAAAGGTTTTCGTTTCTACTGTCCAGCGAGACGTACAAAGTTTGTGAAAACGAGATACGTTGTCTTCTCAGAGGATGAATTGATGAGGGGAGCATGGTAGCTCGAGAAATTGACCTTGAAGTGAAGCGGGTGTATGCGCCCACTCCAATGATTCATGAGCTAATTTTCTCACTACCTGCTGTCGCTGCACCGACAGTGCTAGATACTGTGGTGCCAGCACCTGTTATTATCCCACCTGTGACAACAATGAATGACGATGAGAAACCTGTTCTTCAGAATCCTATAGAACCTATTGTCACACATGAGGGGGAGCAACAACAGCCTCAAACAGAAGATGTGCCAAACGTGGAGGCCCCTAGAAGGTCTCAAAGAGTTAGAAAATCAGCTATTCCTGCTGATTATGAAGTGTACAACACTGAGCAATTTTAAATGGAGGATGATCCCTCCTCATTTGAAGAAGACATGAGAAGTGATCATTCATCAAAGTGGCCTTGAGGCCATGAAAGATAAAATAAAATCAATGAATGCCAATAAAGTTTGGGATTTGGAAATAATTCCTAAAGGAGCCAAAATAGTAGGTTGTAAATGGGTCTACAAAATAAAACTTAACTCTTAAAGGAATATAGAGAAATATAAAGTGCGACTAGTGGCAAAAGGCTATATGCAAAGAGAAGGGATTGATTACAATGAGACCTTTTCTCCAGTCTCATGTAATGTTTCCTTCAGAATCATAATGGCATTAGTGGCACATTACGATTGAGAATTACATTAGATGGAGGTAAAAACGGCATTTCTCTATGGAGAATTGGAGGAAAATGTTTACATGCCACAATCGAAATGTTTTGTCATGAAAGGAAAAGAACGAATGGAATGCCGCCTAAAGAAATCCATTTATAGATTAAAACAAGTTTCAAGACAGTGGTACTTAAAGTTTGATCAGACAATAAAGGATTTTGGGTTTTAAAGAGAAAGTAGAGGATAATTGTGTCTATACAAAGTAAAGAGAATATAGAAGACAATTGTATCAATACAAAGTTTAAAGTTTAAGAGTCACCGCATTACTGCTTGCCACCGGCAATCTGTGGTTTCACAGTGTCGCCGTACCCAATAACTCCATGCAGGAGTGGCCAGTGGCCGAGTGGGCTCGCTTCGCTGCCTTTCGCTACGACGTCAACTCTTCTCTGGTCGGCAGGTCGCCCTCTCGAGTCAGCGTCGGGAGCTCCGCGCCACAACCAGCCAACGATCCGGCGCAACCTGCCCATGCCCTCGGCACGTCTGCCGTGCTGGGCGTGACAAGTGCTCAAACTCTTGCTCTACGAATGCCACACGGACAGAGTCAAAACAGAAGCTGAAAGCTGCGTTCGGGAACTGAAAACGCTAGCGGTATTTCATCGATCGTGCAACTAAGCACTATATATGGATGGACTGCGTTGCTGGGTAATACAATGCATTTCACAAATTTTAAGTTGACATAAAAGAATACTCAAATGATACATTTATCCATGGATTAAACATAATTAAAAAAAAATCTTCTCAAATTACGGTTTCTTTTTGACAAACTTTGCTAAATCTGAGTATGGGTACCCTACAGAGTATGTTATATTTCAGTACAAATTTTAAAAGTTATAATGCATTGTATTTCAGAAGGGAGACAGCAATATCTATTTTAATAACTATCAATATACATAAAAAATATATTACCTCAAATGGAGATAGTTATATATTATGAAAGGATTTCTAATTGTATTGGTAATCTTGTGTTGTTAACTTCTGTCATTCTCATGTAAGGAAATTGTGAAATTGAAAAGCTTCTTTCCCCGTTTGAGGATTACAATTTCAAGTTTGATAATGGAAATTTTTCCTAATTTAAAATAGGCCATAACAAAAAATAGTATTTTAAGTTTTGGTTTATTTAAATGAAAGCCAATTAAGTTGTTTTGAAGGTTTTAATTTGTTGGAGTTGACTTTCAAGTGGTTTGTTCGGTTTTTGTTCCAAACTTATTACTACTGCAGACACCTTACTCAGTCCAGTGAGCTATGCCAATCAAGATCTCCAAATTTTGCCATGGCGTAACCCTTCGTCGGTCCTCGAGACAAGTCTTTGCATGGGAGTCATGTTTTAAATCATTGCTCACATTTAACGTTGTTTACTGGTCAAACATTTCCTAGAACGTGTGAGTAGTGAGAAACACATCGCTATCTCGACTTTAACTGCAACTAAGCGACCACCGTGATTCCACCACTAGCTCTCCACGGACTACCCAGCGCGCCTTGTGCCGGACGAGGGAGCCGTCGGCGTGAAACTTGTGCTTGAACAGCCACTTTCCAGTGACGATGTTCGCACCAGGCGGGGGAGGGACGAGGCGCCAAGTGCCATTGTCGAGCAGCGCCTTATGTTCTTCCGCCATCACAGCGCGCCAATTGGGATCGGCGAGGGCGCTGCGATAGTTCGCCGGGAGGGGCGAGGCAGCGGAGGCAGAGAATCCGTAGCGCTCGACGGTGCGGAGACTGCCGGTCTGCGAGCGCGTCACAGGCCACGCGGCAGCCGGAGAAGCTGCTGCACCAGGGCCAGCAGTGGTTGCTGGTGCTGCTGGAGGCGCAGCAGGGGGCACCAGGGCTGCTGGAGGCGCAGCAGGGGGCACTGCTACGACCACAGGAGCTGCTGCTTGGTTGGCCAACGCTGCAGGAGGCTGTGCACGGCGAGTGTAGACAGCGCCGAAGCGCCGGCCGCCCAGCCGGGGCCCGCCCGCAGGAGGAGCTAGGGGGCCCAGCTGGAGAATGGCCGGGTGCTAGAGCACCGGAGACTCATCCACGCTGGAGGTGGGGGTCGTAGGGCCAGCGAGCAGCAGAGCGGTGGGCGTAGGTGCCGTCGAGGAAGATAGTCCCTGCATCAGGAAATCAAGTGAAGACAGCATGGACGCCGCCGATGGTGCTGCCGAGAAGGGGAACACCAATTCATCAAAAATAACATGGCGAGAGATGATGATGCGCCGAGTGGACATGTTGAGACAGTGATACCCTTTGTGAGAGGATGGGTAGCCAAGGAAGACACAGGGTGCTGAGCAAGGGGCTAGTTTGTGGGGGGGTGGCAGTGAGGTTTGGATAGCAGAGGCATCCGAAAACTCGAAGCGAGGAGTAGTCGGGGAGTGTTTTGTGAAGAAGCTGATAGGGTATATTGTTTTGTACGGAGGAGGATGGTCGCCTATTGAGGAGGAAAGTGGCAGTGGCAAGAGCCTCAGCCCAGTAGGGAGGAGGCATGGACGCATGAAGAAGCATGGTGCGGATAGTGTCATTTGTGGTGCGAAGCATGCGTTCAGCCTTGCCATTCTGTGGAGAGGTATAGGGACACGAGAGGCGTAGCGTAATGCCATGGCTA